TAGAGAAAAATGATAAAAATTCACAACTTTCATGTACAAATCAAAACATAGCCATTTTGTGTAATTAACAGCAATTTTAAAGTTGTCGGATTCTGATATAAATGTCAAAAGTAAACTTGTTTACTTTTATATATTAGAAACACAATTCCTTCATATCACAATGACATTTAATTAGTGTTCCATTATCCACATATATAATTAGAAAACATATACGTATGATTTTTGTTAAAGATGATTTATAATTCATGGTTGTATTCAGAAAGTTCTTTTAAGCAGGTCATGATGTACTTTTCTACAATCTTTACCTCATCTTCTAGAACCTTTGTGAGACCTCAATTTCACTGTGATGAGGTAAGTCAGAGTTTATGAGATTTAAAACCAGTAAGGCTAGATTGAATCATAGTTGATTTTTTTAAAAAAATGCTAATGCTGGCCTTAGTTATCACTTTATTTATTTATTTATTTATTTATTTATTTATTTATTTATTTATTTATTGTTTATTTATTTATTTATTTATTATTTTTCTTTAAAAACAAGAACAAAGAAAAGTTTCCATTGTACAACATATCGGTGTATATCCACAATTTATATTCTCCTCTCCCCTACGTATTCACATATTTATATTTGTGGTACCCTTATTCCTTACATATTGTATATACTACTCCTTACTTATTATACATACTATTATATCGATATATTACTTTATATACATTGTATATTTAATACCATTTTACTAATACTTCCTATTTTCTAGTCCATCTCTATTATATATTTTCTTACTTGTTATTCCTGTCCTCTAACCATTTGTACCATTTATTCCATATTAAGTAATATTCTGTTTCATCTTTTTCTTTTATTTCTTTCGTCAATTTATCCATCTCTGCACAGTCCAAAATTTTCCTTATCACCTCTTCGTCTTTTGGTATGACATTATTATTCCAATTTTGTGCATAGGTTATCCTAGCTGCAGTTATAATATGTAGAATTAGATATTGTATTTCTTTATTATAATTTCTTGTGGGTATGCCCAATAAAAATAATTCCAGCTTCCAGTCTATATGATGTTCAGTTATCTCTTCAAACCGCTTTTTAATTTTAATCCAGTACTTTTTTGCTATTGCACAAGTCCACCATAGATGATAATATGTCCCGTATGATTTCTTACATTTCCAACAAATCGGTGATGTGTTTGGAAACATCTTAGCAAGTCTTGCTGGTGGAAGATGCCATCTATAAAACATCTTGTACTGGTTTTCCTTATAAGCTGCTGACATAGTCAATGTCAAATTTATTTTCCAAAGTTTTTCCCCTTTCTCCAAATCTATGCTATATCCAAAACTTTTTGCCCAGTTTATCATTGTTTCTTTAACCACTTCCTCTTCCATTTTATATCTCAGTCTTAGTTATCACTTTAACTGGACTGATGGAATAAGAGTGTTGATTATTATTTTTTCCAGTGGCTCATTGTATTGGATGAGTTTGTATATTGATTTAATGAAACAAGCACCATATTTAGTGTTGGTTGTTTTTTTTTGTTGTTGTTGTTGTTGTTGTTGTTGTTCATTCACACTCCCTTTATATATCAGTAAGGGCACTCTTCAAGGCAAGAATAATTAAAAATTCAGAAAACCCAATGGGGGCAAATAGTCTTTCATAGAACAATGGCATGCAGAGTTTTGCTTTGCTTCTCAAATTTAGAAAAATCCTAAAATTATCCATCCGGTGGGGAAAACTGCTAAGAAAAAAAATATTCAGAATAAAGACCAGTTTACAAAAGAGTGTTAACCAAACAGAAGCTTTAAATGATCATATGAACAATGGTCAAATATGGTAATTTTTGAAAATGCAGACAGTTCTCTTGGTTTACATACGTTCCTTCTTGCATTAATTCTTCATGCAACGATGTCTGATTTTTTCCAACAGTAGGGGAAAGTAAGAAGTCTTATGCCTTATATTTATTTTTTACTTCTGTATTTATTAATTCAATTTATTTATTAATTCAATTTGTATGCCGCCCCTCTCCGAAGACTCAGGGCGGCTATTCTTCCTTGCATTAGTAGAATGTCCAAATCAGTAGTGGCACACAACAGCAGAAGAGTTTTCCAAGACTTTCCATAAAAATGTTCAAAGCTTCTAACTTTGACAGCTCCTGCTACAGAAAAGCAGAGACTTGCTTAAATATATGCTGGCTGGCTCATCAGTTCTTATGTGATCTGGATTTAAACCTGATATTCCAAGGTAGTCTATCTATAATGATATGCCTGGTTCCATCTGACACTGTGGAAGAATACATAAATTCTTGAAATACATCAGAGACCATTACAATATTTTATTGAACTGAGCTCAGTGAGTTGACTAGACTAGAAATTATAATCTATTGCCATGGTTTCTAAGATTAGAAGAAGATTTAGCCTTCTCTCCCTGAGCTACCACATTATCGGGAGTGAAATAAATAGACACCGAGACAGAATCCATACATAATCTTGGGTTTTGTAGCATTTTTTAAAATTTATTGAATGTTCAGTGGCTGAAGTCCAGAGATGCTTCTATTTTCCTTTAAAATATGTATGTTAAGGTTTTAAAAAAGAACCTTCAGAAAAGCAAAAGAATATTGTGCTTAAACGTCACAGAATACATACATCCACATTAAATGTGCATCAATTCAGCAATTAATCTGTATAGAGATCAGTTTTGCACGCAGTCTATGACAATTGTACATATCCTTAAGTTTATGTTTTTTGTGGAAAACACAATCTGTGGACAACAGGTAATAGCCAAAGTGGAAGAAGAGGCTGAAATGCAAACACTGGTTTCATTTCCAACCTGTTTACACATGAGACAAAGCCTATAGTGCAGAAAAACTCAAAACTGAAGATTGTGGTATGGCATAGAGAGCTTTTCTTTCACTGAATACATATCAAACTCTGGTTTGTGTAAAATAGACTTTGAATTAAATATTTAGTTCAATGAACAGGTCAATGAGCAGAATCCAATGTCAGTGTAATGATTTAGGAATCAGTGTTTAAATTTCTCCCCATCGAGCAGTTATGTGAATAAATTTCAGGCTTTCTGAATAAATAGAAGAGTTTGAAATATACACTTTGCACTTGGAGAGTGTTGTGGCACAGTTCACATCTCAGAAATGTATAAAAATACATTTATAATTGTCTGCAGAATGGTACAAAATCCAGCTTTCAGGAAAAGAAAAATGTGCCCACTCAGAAAAGAATGCAATTACATAGGAAGAAATATGGATAAACGTGTATACAAATATTAATTGCAATATGCCTTTATACCCTGTTTTCCACAAAATAAGAGATCCCCTGATAATAAGCCCAATCGGGCTTTTGAGTGCATGGCAATAAGGCCGAGCACTTATTTCATGGTTCAAAAAAATATAAGATAGGGTCTTATTTTCTGGAAAACATGGTACATTGTTTGTGTTTGGAATCTTGACAAAGCTGATAAATTAAAAGAAAAGTAGAAGGATGAAGATTTGAATCCAAATGCATTCATAATGTTTCTGATTCTTTTTTTTAAAAAAAATATTAATTTTTCAATAAACACAAAACCAAAAATGTACATACAAAAATATAAGCAAAAACAAAAAAAGAATACAAGAGATACAAAGAGAGAGAGAAAGAAAAGAAAAAGAAAGAAAGAGAAGAGAGAGAAGAAAAAAGATTAAAAATAAAAGAAGAGGAAAAAAAGAAAAAAACCCATTTTTTTATTCAGAACTGTGTCAATTTGCAAAACATATCCCGATTAAAATACTTATAGTCTATATATTTTACTTCAACAATTTTTGTTATGTCTGAGTCTGTTTTATCCTTCTCTTTTTAATCTATTCATACCATTTCTCCCATGATACATAGTACTCTGAGTCTGTCATTTCTTTCAGTTCCAATGTTAGTTTGTCCATTTCAGCGCAATCGTAAATTTTTTTGATTATTTGATCTTCAGAGGGCGTCTTGACATTTTTCCAACATTGTGCAAAAGCCAATCTCGCTGCTGTCATTATATATAAAATCATATGTCTTGTCTTCTTTTCGTAGGTTTTTCCCATTATTCCCAGTAGGTATAATTCTGGTACAAATTCTAATTGAACAACTGTTATTTCTTGCAACCAATTTTTTATTTTTCTCCAGTTTTTTTGATTCTGGACACAGCTATGAGTGGTAGAAGGTACACTGTTTCTGTCCACATTTCGAGCAATTTGGAGCCAAATTTGGATATATTTTTGCCAATTTTGAGGGAGCCAAATGCCAGAGGTAAAACATTTTATATTGGTTTTCCTTAAATTTTACCGATCTTGTTAATTTTTAATTTTTGTTCCAAATTATTTCCTATTTCTCTAATTCAATATTGTGCCCTACATTTTTTGCCCATGCTATCATCGTTCCCTTCATTATTTCCTTTGCTTTATCAAATTACAAAAAATATTTATACAATTTGATTATTAATTTTTCATCTGGGCCAATCAGTAGTTTATCTAAATATTGTGGAACCAGTTCAATACCATAATCCTCTTTGTTTTTTGAATACCACAATTTTATTTGTAAATATGGCCACCAATCAATAATAATTCCTTATTTCTCCAGATCTTGCCTGCTTTTTAAATTTCCTTGGGGGGTCTAAAATTTCATAATATTTGACCATTTTGTTCATATCCATAGCGTTTGGGTGTATCATTGCCTCCATTTCTGTGATTCTTGATGCCACCAACATGTAGTCATTTCATTGAAAAGGGGATTTGTATTAGCTTTCTTTTTCTAGTTTTTTGTCACATTTCTTTTCATTTGTTTTTAAATTTACAGACAGAACTCCAGCAGAGCTATGAAATATCTTTCTGATCAAGGGATCTAACAGAGCAAGGAAAACATCTACATTATTTAAATACCTGACCTATATCACTTATTAAAATCAAGTGACCTCAAATATAAATAAAGCATTAGCTTTTCCAGTTTTTTCCAGCCTTTAATAAGACATAGGAACTAAATTGGTTTAAAACTCAATGAGTTTATTAGATAAGTGATTCACATCTTTCCCTTTGGGGACATTAAGTATACACAACAATTTGTAACATACAGAAATGCAGAAATTTGAAAAGAACAATGACAATGAACAATAAACGTGTCAAAAATGTAACATTCCTGGGGGGGGGGGAAATCCATCATTACTCTAGGAGAAAGGTAGAGTTGTGTAATTAAGATTCTAGCACATACACACACCAGGAATTGGTATGATTTAATTAGTGAAACTGATACAACATCTGGAGAGTAAAAAAAACAAAAACATGTCTCTTCCTATGCAGAAGAACTGATTTTCATCATACAGATCCCAGAGTTACAAAATAACATGGATTCATTACGTAATTTTTGTTCCTGCTTCTAAGTGTTATGTTTCAACTGCTTATGTCTAAAGCCTATGCAAAAACAAACTTTGATTGTGACCACAGCCTACACAAGTTTTGTATTTATAGACACAAAACAGGCATTTTTAAAAAATCTTTTTAAGCAGTTAAAGAACAATATATATATTTGCATAGCAAATAAACAAAGACTGTCAAAACCAATCAAAAGGATTCAGAAACAAGTAGATTTTCTAGATTTGAGGCTACACTGCAAATTGCTTTCTCGAAGAAGCCCCCAAAAGTAATCCCCCATCATGTTTTTGTTATATTGTCCTTGGTAACGACATTCAAAGTCCAGTACATCCTGATAAAAGCTCTTGCCTTGCTCCTCTGAGTAAGCACCCATGTTCTTCTTGAATTTGTCAAGATGAGTATCAAGGACTTTGAGGGACATTCTACATCCCATGTTGGCATAGTTCTTTATGAGAGTTTGAACTAGCTGTTCATAGTTTTTTCAGCCTTGTGATGGCCCAGAAAGCTGCGAACCACTGCAACAAAACTGTTCCAAGGAGCTTTCTCCATCCTGTTTAGCTACTTGGCAAATTCATCGTACTTTACCGTCTTCTTTATCTGTGGTCCGACAGAGATACCAGTTTTAGCCTTCACCTCTGACAGCTGTGGAAAGAGATCTTGGAGGTTCTTGGAAGCTGCTGACTCCTTGGCTAGAGCTATGACAAATTGTTTGATGAGGCCTAACTTGATGTGCAGTGATGGCATCAGCACCTTCCGAGGGTTTACTAAGCAGTTCCCACTTTATGCTGCTCTTCCCTATGGAGAACTCAGTCTGCTAAGGCCAGTCCCTTGTGTGATAGTGCACCTTAGTGTCCTGACTGTCCCAGAGGCAAAGAAAAGAAGGAAACTTTATGAAACAGCCTTGGAGACTCATCAGGAATGAAACCATTCTGAAGTTTCCAATGACCTCCTGCTCATAGTCATCATATTTCAAGGCACTCAGCAACATTTTGACACTGGTATAGTCCTCTTTGGGGTGCACAGAGTGAGCCATAGGGAGAGATAGGTTCTTGTTCCCATTATGCAGCAACATGGCTTTGAGGCTCCTGGATGAATTGTCTATGAATAGGCATCATTCACTTGCTTAACAATTATTCCTATAGCCTCGAATATACTGGCCACATTGTTGCAGAAGCACAGCCCATCTGTTCTGGACTAGGCTTCCCCAAAAAGCACGAAGCAGAATCCGGGTCCCCACAAAACCCCTTTTATTAAGCAAACAGTGAATTCCTCTCATTCACCTTCAGCAAAGTGTTTCAAGGGAGAATTTACAGTCACAGACCTTATCTGGCTTGGAGAGCTGCCAGGCCGATAACTTCAAAACTTGGCAAAGAGTCTCGGAGAGTCACAAACAAATTAGGTGAACTAATTGTCTTCTGCAAACTCCACTCCCCTTTCACTCCTCTTTTATTCTTTCTGGGAGGGGCCAATCATCGTCCACCTGTGGCCTTACTCCCAAGTCGATCCTTGTTCTTTAGCTGTTCTCTTCATCTGGCAACTCTGCTCATGAGCACACTGGGAACAGGCTCCAGCTGTTCATCTGCCTCACTGATGTCTGACTCTGAAGGCAGATGATAACTGGCATCTGGCCCTGGCCCTGGCCTCCTTTCTGCCTCCAACACAGAGCCCTCATCAGAGCCTTCCCCAGACTCCAGGACTGGCCCATGTTCCTCCCCAATTTCCTCACTCTCTGATTTTGCTGTCAGGTCCGTTGGCTGCTGGTGGGCCAGAACACCATCTTGCTGATTGAAGAAGTTGGAAAAATGTTGCTGACGTTTTCTCTGATCTGTGACTTGCACACTTTCCTCCAACAAGTTCCACTCCTTCAACCTAGATGTCAGACGTTCAGCACAGGACTTGATAAAACCAAGGTCTCCCATCAGATTGTTGAGGTCTTTCTGGTTGGAGAAGTATGGCTTTCTCTCCTCAGCCACATCTGTATCTGCAATATCTGTCTCAATGTCTGACTTGTTTCTCTCTCCTGAATATGGCTGATCCCTCTTTGGAGGGTGGGAATGGGGAGCTCAAGGCAGTGTGGTACTCAGTCGATGGATGAAGGAATGTTTGGATATATGATAGGAGGCAGGCTCTTGTCATTTCAACATTTGGAAGGGTCCACCATGCAGAAGTAGCCATTGCTTGCGTTGTCAGTCAGTTCCCGCCAAATTCTTGGGATAGCAAACTTCATGTCTCTCTTTTCTCCCTTGTACCAGCCTGTAAACATAGCCAAATTATATAAATTAAAAAAAAATTCACACATTACCTAATATTGTGCAAGATATTATTATAGGATATAAAATATATATTGTTGTATTTCCCTAGAACATTGAAAATAGTGAACGTTTTCTTAATTGCAACTCTTTTATACTGTAATAAATCACTGAAATTCCATCTAGCAAGCAGCAGTTGTTTATCTTACCTTCAAGGGTTTTGTTATAGTGTTACCATGTGAAATGACGTGGCCAGGACTTGTCTTCATCCCCAACAGGTATGCTGAAGTATGCTTTGTAGATCTTGTACATCTTAACTGACACTTTCACAGAGTACTTTTTCGCTCTTGTCTTGATAAATTGTCCACACACATAGCAAAATGCATCTGCTGGAAGCAAGCAATCACTTGATGCTATCTAAATCAAATATTGTTATTCACTATTCTCTTACTCAACAAATAGACAAACTAAAATGTTGGTTTAAGGCACCTGTACTTTTATAATTCAATGAATACTGCTGAATAATCCCAGAAAGTTCTAAAAGATTCCAGAAAGATCTAGCAAATTCTGGCTAATTCTAGAAACTTTTGGACAGTTCTCACAGTTCCAGAATATTCTGGAAGTCTATTCAGCATTGAATGTGAATCAAGAATGCTCTCGAAAACAAATAAAATTTTAAAATATCACTGTCCTGACCACAGAAGCAAAGAGGTTTTTTTGGAACAATCTCTTTTTTCTATTTATTTTAGGCATAAGGTATTAGGATAACATATTTTGTACCCAGGAACAAAATATTGGAACACACTAAATTGAAATTTGTTACGTAGTGCTTGGATCATATATTTATGTCAGAATTCACAGTAATATTTTATTCATGCTCAAAATAAATTGCATTAAGAACTTATAAATGTCTTTATTGATTAATTGTGCTTCCAATACTTTCTCCGGCAAAGGGTGATGATCTACTTTACAAGAACAGTAAAAACTAGATTTAAAAAAAAAGAATTAAAATATTTATTTAAAAACACAACCAAACAGAAACTATGATAATAAAGTGCAGGAAAAGGGGAGAAATGAAATCGACATCCCTTCCATTCACTTCTTTTCCCTGACACTCCCTTCCCTTATTCCTTACATTTATCTCTAAATAATGTTACATCTCTATCTTTATTGACCTGAATCCTCTAGAGTCATTTCCTGAGTACATGGGGAAGGAGGTTGTGGACAGTTAGGTGAGTCCTTAGCTGGAAATTTCTACTCACATTTGCTTTATTGGCATCTCACTTCATTTAGAGAAGGATGACTAGTGCAGTCCTCTTTTGCCTACCAAACGTGACCCAAACTTACTCAGCCACCTGTTGCATCTATGGCAGGAGTAGAACTCATCATTCCTATTGCAGGAATAGAATTCACCCTCTCTTGGTTATTGGCCAAAAGTCAATCAGCAGACTTTCCTGTGTATTGCAGGACTAGAACTCACCATCTACTGGAGATCTGAACAAAGTCACTTAGGTGCTTGTCATCTGTATGGTAGTGTAGAACTCAATGTCAATTACTTAGTGGTACAAAGTCATTCAAGTGCTTGGCATGCACATTAAAGGATTAGCACTCAAGGTCAACTGAGCCTTGATAGTACAGTGGTCTACGCACCCTGTTATTAACACAGCTGCCTGCAATTTTCTGCTGGTTCGAATCTCTCCAAGGCTCAAGGTTGACTCAGCCTTCCATCCTTTCTAAGGTAGGTGAAATGAGGACCCAGTTTGTGGGGGCAATAAGCTGACTTTGTATAAATATACAAAAGTATGAAGGCTATTGCTTAACGCATTGTAAGCCGCCCTGAGTCTCCGGAGAAGGGCGGCATATAAATCAAATTTAAAAAAAACAAAAAACTGGTGATCTATCCAAAGTCACCCAGACACCAGTTGTGCATATTTGCAGGAATAGCATTTCCTGGTGATTGGCCCAAAGTCACTAAGCTGCCAGACATGCTACTTGAAGGACTAGAACACACAGTCGACAGCTTATTGGTCCAAAGTGACACATGATGTCTATCATTCATTTTGAAGGATTAAAACATAACATGCCTAATGGAGGACTACAAATCACCATCTCTTGGTGATTGGCCCAAAATCACTCAGTAAGCTGTAATTCATATTGCAGGAGTTAAAATTCACCTTTTCCTAGTGATCTGCCCAAAGAATTTAGCCAGCTTTCATGCATATTACACAGTAGAACTAATATGTTGATTAACCCTGTCACTTACCCACCAGTCCTGCTTATGGCAGAAGTAGAATTCACAATGCCTGTTGAAAGAATACAAGTCAATTGGTTATTGGCCCAAAGCTACTCAGCCAGCTGTCATGTGTATTGTAGGGTTAAAACTCACCTGATCATGGAGCTCAAAGTGAACCAGATACCTGTACTGCGCATTACAGTATAACTCAAAATGCCTATTGAAGGAATAGAAGTCACCATCACTTGGTTATTCACCCAAACTCATTCAAATGGTTCTAATATTACAAGAGTAAAACTCATCTTCTCTGTTCGTTTAATTCAATCACCTATCCAACAGTCATGCTTATTGCAGCCATAGATTTCATACTTTCCTGAATATTGTACAATAGAACTCACCTTCTCCTATTGATTTATTCAGTCATGTATCCTCCAGTCACACGGACCATAGGTATAGAACTCATCATGATTACTGCAGGAATAGAAATAAGAATATCTTGGTTATTGGCCCAAAGTCACTCAACCAACTATTGTCCATACCCCATGACTCAACTCACCTTTTCTTTCGGATTTGTATAAAGTCATTCAGGCGGATTTCCTGAGTATTCAGGAATAGAACTCACCTTCTCCTGTTGATTTACTTGGTCATGAATCCTCAAGTCATGGTTACCGTAGGTGTAGAACTCATAATGCTTGCTGCAGGAATAGAAATGAAAATCTCTTCATTACTGGCCAAAAGGAACTCAACTATCAGCCGTAACCTAGGAATAAAACTCACTTTTTCCTTGTGACATCTACAAAGTCATTCAGGCAGCTTTCCTGAGTATTGAAGAAGAGAACTCTTGTACTCGGGTAGATATACTCATTCACAAATTGTGTAGTCATGGATACCATAGGTGTAGAACCCATCATTCCTACAGCGGGAATAGAAATAAAGAACTCTTGGTAATGAGCCCCAAATCACTCAACTAACAACAATAAGTACCCCACGAGTAAAACTCACCTTTTTCTTGTGATTTGTACAAAGTCATTCAGACAGCTTTCCTCATTATTGTGGAAAAGAATTCAAGTTATCTAATTGATTTACTTGGTCATGAATCCACCAGTCAAGCTGACCGTACGAGTAAAACCTGTTGTGCAAACTGAAGGAGTAGAAATAAAAATCTGTTGTCTATTGGCCAAAAATCACTAAAAAAAACTATTACCTGTAGCCCAGGAGTAAAACTCACTTTCTCCTAGTGAATTGTACAAAGTCATTCAGGCAGTTTTCCTGAGTATTATACAATAAAATTCACCTTCTCCTGTTAATTTACTCAGTCACGAATCCTTCAGTCATGGTTACAGTAGAAGTAGAACACACCATGCCTATGGCAGGGATAGAAATATAATCTCTTGGTTATTGGTGCAAAGTCACTCAAACAACTATCACCTTGTTGCTTAACGCATTGTAAGCCGCCCTGAGTCTTCGGAGAAGGGTGGCATATAAATAAATAAATAATTTTAAAAAAAAAAACCATCCCCAGGAGTAAAACTCACCTTTTCCTGGTGAACTCCAAAGTCATTCAGGCAACTTTCATGAGAATTCTAGAACAGAACTCACCTTCTCCTGTTGATTTACTTAGTCACGAATCCTCCAATCCTGTTTACCATAGTAGGAGAACCTATTATCCATACTGCAGGAATAAAAATAAAAAACTTTTTTGTAATGGCTCAACGTCACACAAACAACTATCACCCATCCCCAGGAGTAAAACTCAGCTTTTCCTCGTGATTGTACAAAGTTATTCAGGCAGGTTTCCTGTTTATTATAGAATAAAACTCACCTTCCCCTGTTGATTTACTTGGTCATGAATGCTCCAGTCCTGGTTACAGTAGAAGTAGAACACGTCATGCCTCCTGTAGGAATAGAAATAAAAATCTCTTTGTTATTTGCCCAAAGTCACTCGATCAACTGTTGTCCGTACCCCAGGAGTGATACTCACCTTTTCCTGGTGAATTGTACAAACTCATTCAGGCAGCTTTCATGAGAATTCTAGAACAGAACTCACCTTCTCCGGTTGATTTTCTTGGTCACGAATCCCCCAGTCATGCTTACCATAGTAGGAGAACCTGTTATCCATACTGCAGGCGTAGAAATAAAAATCTGTTGTTTAATGGCTCAACATCACTCAACCAACTATCACCCATCCCCAGGAGTAAAACTCACCTTTTCCTCATGATTGTACAAAGTCATTCAGGCAGGATTCCAGACTATTACCGAATAAAACTCACGTTCTGCTGTTGATTTACTCGGTCACGAATCCTACCATCATGTTTACCATTTGAGTAGAACTTATTATTCCTTCTGCAGGAATAGAAATAGAAGTCTCTTGGTTATTGGGCCAACATCATTTAACTAACTGTCTTCCGTACCCCAGGAGTAATACTCACCTTTTCCTGGTGAATTGTACAAAGTCATTCAGGCAGCTTTCATGAGTATTCTAGAACAGAACTCAGCTTCCCCTATTGATTTACTTGGTCACGAATCCTCCAGTCCTGGTTACAGTAGGAGTAGATCATGTCATGCCTCCTGTAGGAATAGAAATAAAAATCTCTTTGTTATTTGCCCAAAGTCACTTGATCAACTGTCGTCCATACCTCAGAAGTAATACTCATCTTTTCCTGGTGAATTGTACAAACTCATTCAGGCAGCTTTCATGAGTATTCTAGAATAGAACTCACCTTTTACTGTGGATTTACTTGTTCACGAATCCTCCAGTCATGGTCACTGTATGAGCAGAATACATCATGCCTATTGGTGGAATAGAAAAAAAATCTCTTGGTTATTGGTCTAAAGTACATAATCAACTGTCACCTGGACCACAGGAATACTACTCACGTTTTCAATATGAATTGTTCAAAGTAATTTACGATGCTTTCCTGAGTATTACAGAATAAAATTCAAGTTCTGCTGTTTATTTACTCGGTCACAAATCCTCCCGTCATTTTTTAACATTTGAGTAGAACCTATTATTTCTTCTGCAGGAATAGAAATAGAAGTCTCTTGGTTATTGGGCTAAGAGTACTCAACCAAATGTCGACTGTTACCCAAAAGTAATACTCACCTTTTCTTGGTGAATTGTACAAAGTCATTCAGGCAGCTTTCATGAGTATTCTGGAATAGAACTGACCTTCTCCTTTTGATTTGCTTGGTCACAAATTCTCCAGTCCTGCTTACCATAGTAGGAGAACCTGTTATCCATACTGAAGGAGTAGAAATAAAAATCTATTGTTTAATGGCTCAACATCACTCAACAAACCATCACCCATCCCTAGGAGTAAAACTCACCTTTTCCTGGTGAATTGTATAAACTCATTCATGCAGCTTTCTTGAGTAGTCTAGAATAGAATTCACTTTCTCCTGTTCATTTACTTGGTCCCACATCCTCCAGTCCTGCTTACCATAGCAGGAGAATCTGTTATCCATACTGCAAGAGTAGAAATAAAAATCTGTTGTTTATAGGCCCAACCTCACTCAACCAACTGTCGTCCATACCGCAGGAGTGATACTCACCTTTTCCTGGTGAATTGTACAAAGTCATTCAGGCAGCTTTCATGAGTATTCTAGAATAGAACTCTCCTTCTCCTGTTGGTCACGAATCCCCCAGCCCTGGTTACAGTAGGAGTGAAACATGTCATGCCTCCTGTAGGAATAGAAATAAAAATCTCTTTGTTATTAGCCAAAAGTCACTCAATCAACTGTTGTCCGTACCCCATAAGTAGTACTCACCTTTTCCTGGTGAATTTACAAACTCATTCAGGCAGCTTTCATGAGTATTCTAGAACAGAACAGAACAGAACAGAACAAATCACCTTCTCTGGTACAAAGTCATTCAGGAATCTTTCCTGAGTATTACAGAATAAATCTCACGTTCTGCTATGTCCGTACTCCAGGAGTCATACTCACCTTTTCTTGGTGAATTGTACAAACTCATTCAAGCAGCTTTCATGAGTATTCTAGAATAGAACTCACCTTCTCCTGTTCATTACTTGGTCACTCATCTTCCAGTCATGCTTACCATAGTAGGAGAACCTGTTATCCATACTGCAGGAGTAGAAAAAAAAAAATCTGTTGTTTAATGGCTCAACATCACTCAACCAACTGTCGTCCGTACCTCAGGAGTAATACTCATTTTTTCCTGGTGAATTGTCCAAACTCATTCAGGCAGCTTTCATGAGTATTCTAGAACAGAACTCACCTTCTCCTGTTGATTTACTTGGTCAGGGATCTTTCAGTCATGCTTATTGTAGTAGGAGAACCTGTTACTCATACTGTAGGAGTAGAAATAAAAATCTGTTGTTTAATGGCTCAACATCACTCAACCAACTATCACCCATCCCCAGGAGTAAAACTCACCTTTCCCTCATCATTGTACAAAGTCACTCAGGCAGGTTTCCTGAGTATTACAGAATAAAACTCACCTTCCCCTTGGTCATGAATCCTCCAGTCCTGCTTACCGTAGTAGAAGAACATGTTATCCATACTGCAGCAGAAGAAATAAAAATGTGTTGTTTATTGGCCCAACATCACTCAACAGACTGTCGTCCATACCCCAGGAGCAATACTCACCTTTTCCTGGTGAACTGTACAAACTCATTCAGGCAGCTTTCATGAGTATTCTGGAATAAAACTCACCTTCTACTTCTGATTTACTTGGTCACAAATCCTCCAGTCATAGTTACAGTATGAGGAGAACACATCATGCCTACTGGAGGAATAGAAATAAAAATCTCTTGGTTATGGGTCCAAAGGTACTCAATCAACTGTCATCCGGACCCCAGGAATAATACTCACCTTTTCAATGTGAATTGTACAAAGTCATTCAGGAAGCTTTCCTGAGTATTAAAGAATAAAACTTACATTCTGCTGTTGATTTACTCGGTCATGAATCCTCCCGTCATGTTTACCATTTGTGTAGAACCTATTATTCCTTCTGCAGGAATAGAAATAGAAGTTTCTTGGTTATTGGACCAAGGGTACTCAACCAAATATCATCTGTACCCTAGGAATAATACTCACCCTTTCAATGTGAATTATACAAAGTCATTCAGGCAGCTTTCATGAGTAATCTAGAATAGAACTCACTTTCTCCTGTTAATATATTTGGGCACGAATGCTCCAGTCCTGATTACAGTAGGAGTACAACAAATCATGACTCCTGTAGGAATTGAAATAAAAATCTCTTTCTTATTAGCCCAAAGTCACTCGATCAACTGTCATCCGTGCTCCAGGAGTCATACTAACCTTTTCCTCGTGAATTGTACAAACTCATTCAGGCACCTTTCATGAGTATTATAGAATAGAACTCACCTTCTCCTGTTGATTTACTTGGTGACGCATCTTCCAGTCATGCTTACCATAGTAGAAGGACCTGTTATCCATACTGCAGGAGAAGAAATAAAAATCTGTTGTTTATTGGCCCAACATCACTCAACCAAGTGTCATCCGTACCCCAGGAGTAATATTCACCTTTTCCTGGTGAATTGTACAAAGTAATTCAGGCAGCTTTCATGAGTGTTCTGGAATAGAACTCACCTTCTCCAGTTGATTTACTTAGTCACGAATCCTCCGTTCATGATTACAGTATGAGGAGAAGACATCATGCCTACTGGTGGAATAGAAATTATAATCTCTTGGTTATTGGTTCAAAGGTACTCAATCAAATGTCATCCAGACCTCAGGAATCATACTCATCTTTTCAATGTGAATTGTACAAAGTCATTCAGGAAGCTTTCTTGAGTATTACAGAATAAAACTTACGTTCTGCTGTTGATTCACTCAGATATCAATCCTCCCGTCATGTTTACCATTTGAATAGTACCTATTATTCCTTCTGCGGGAATAGAAATAGAAGTTTTTTGGTTATTGGGCAAAGGGTACTCAACCAAATGTCGTCTGTACCCCAGGAGACATACTCAACCTTTCCTGGTGAATTGTACAATGTCATTCAAACAGCTTTCCTGTTTATTATAGAATAAAACTCACCTTCCCCTGTTGATTTCCTTGGTCACGAATCCTCCAGTCCTGCTTACTGTAGTAGGAGAATCTGTAATCCGTACTGCCAAAGTAGAAATAAAAATCTATCGTTTATAGGCTCAACCTCACTCAACAAACTGTCGTCCATACCCCAGGAGTGATACGCACCTTTTCCTGGTGAATTGTACAAAGTCATTCAGGCAGCTTTCATGAGTATTCTGGAAAAGAACTCACCTTCTCCTTTTGATTTACTTGGTCACAAATCCTCCAGTCATGATTACAGTATGAGTAGAAGACATCATGCCTACTGGAGGAATAAAAATAAAAATCTCTTGGTTATTGGTACAAAGGTACTCAATCAACTGTCATCAGGACTCCAGGAATAATACTCACCTTTTCAATGTGAATTTTACAAAATCGTTCAGGAAGCTTTCCTGAGTATTACAGAATAAAACTCATGCTCTGCTATTGATTTATTCAGTCACAAATCCTCCCGTCATGTTTATCATTTGAGTAGAACCTATTATTCCTTCTGCAGGAATAGAAATAGAAGTCTCTTGGTTATTGTTCCAAGGGTACTCAAATAAATGTCGTCTGTACCCCAAAAGTAATACTCACCTTTTCCAAGTTAATTGTACAAAGTCATTCAGGAAGCTTTCCTGAATATTTTGGAATAGGACTCACCTCCTCCTGTTGATTTGTTTTGTCATGACTCCTCCAGTCCTGCTTACCGTAGTAGGAGAACCTGTTATCCATACTGCAGGAGTAGAAATAAAAATCTTTTGTTTATTGCCCCAACATCACTCAACCAAATGTCGTCCGTATCCCAGGAGTGATACTCATCTTTTTCTGGTGAATTGTAAAAAGTCATTCAGGCAGGTTTCCAGAGTATTACAGAATAAAACTCACCTTCCCCTCTTGATTTATTTGGTCAAGAATCCTCCAGTCATGGTTACAGTATGAGGACAACAAATCATGCCTACTGGTGGAATAGAAATAAAAACCGCTTGGTTATTGGTCCAAAGGTACTCAATCAACTGTCATCTGGACCCCAGGAATAATACCCACCTTTTCAATGTGAATTGTACAAAGTCATTCAGGAATCTTTCCTGGCTATTACAGAATAAACCTCACGTTTTGCTGTTGATTTACTCAGTCATGAATCCTGCCGTCATCTTTACCATTTGAGTAGAACCTCTTATTCCTTCTGCAGGAATAGAAATAGAAGTTTCTTGGTTATTGGGCAACATTACTCAACCAAATGTCGTCTGTACCCCAGGAATAATACTCACCCTTTCAATGTGAATTTTACAAAGTCATTCAGGCAGCATTCATGACTATTCTAGAATAGAACTCAGCTTCTCCTGTTGATTTATTTGGTCACGGATCCTCCAGTCCTGATTACAGTAGGAGTAGAAAACGTCATGCCTCCTTTAGGAATAGAAATTAAAATATCTTTGTTATTAGTCCAAAGTCACTCGTTCAACCGTCATCTGTACCGCAGGACTCATACTCACCTTTTCCTGGTGAATTGTACAAACTCATTCAGGCAGCTTTCATGAGTATTCTAGAATAGAACTCACCTTCTCCTGTTCATTATTTGGTCATGCATCTTCCAGTCATGCTTACGGTAGTAGGAGAATCTGTCATCCATACTGTAGAAGTAGAAATAAAAATCTGTTGTTTATTGGCCCAACATCACTCAACAGACTGTCGTCCGTACCCGAGGAGTAATACTCACCTTTTCCTGGTGAATTGTCCAAAGTCATTCAGGCAGCTTTCATCAGTATTGTGGAATAGAACTCACCTTCTCCTTTTGATTTACTTCGTCACGAATCCTCCAATCATGGTTACAGTATGAGGAGAACACATCATGCCTACTGGTGGAATAGAAATAAAAACCTCTTGGTTATTGGTCCAAAGGTACTCAATCAACTGTCATCCGGACCCCAGGAATAATACCCACCTTTTCAATGTGAATTGTAACAAAGTCATTCAGGAATCTTTCCTGGCTATTACAGAATAAACCTCACGTTTTGCTGTTGATTTACTCAGTCATGAATCCTGCCGTCATCTTTACCATTTGAGTAGAACCTCTTATTCCTTCTGCAGGAATAGAAATAGAAGTTTCTTGGTTATTGGGCAACATTACTCAACCAAATGTCGTCTGTACCCCAGGAATAATACTCACCCTTTCAATGTGAATTTTACAAAGTCATTCAGGCAGCATTCATGACTATTCTAGAATAGAACTCAGCTTCTCCTGTTGATTTATTTGGTCACGGATCCTCCAGTCCTGATTACAGTAGGAGTAGAAAACGTCATGCCTCCTTTAGGAATAGAAATTAAAATATCTTTGTTATTAGTCCAAAGTCACTCGTTCAACCGTCATCTGTACCGCAGGACTCATACTCACCTTTTCCTGGTGAATTGTACAAACTCATTCAGGCAGCTTTCATGAGTATTCTAGAATAGAACTCACCTTCTCCTGTTCATTATTTGGTCATGCATCTTCCAGTCATGCTTACGGTAGTAGGAGAATCTGTCATCCATACTGTAGAAGTAGAAATAAAAATCTGTTGTTTATTGGCCCAACATCACTCAACAGACTGTCGTCCGTACCCGAGGAGTAATACTCACCTTTTCCTGGTGAATTGTCCAAAGTCATTCAGGCAGCTTTCATCAGTATTGTGGAATAGAACTCACCTTCTCCTTTTGATTTACTTCGTCACGAATCCTCCAATCATGGTTACAGTATGAGGAGAACACATCATGCCTACTGGTGGAATAGAAATAAAAACCTCTTGGTTATTGGTCCAAAGGTACTCAATCAACTGTCATCCGGACCCCAGGAATAATACCCACCTTTTCAATGTGAATTGTAAAAAGGCATTCAGGAATCTTTCCTGAGTATTACAGAATAAATCTCACGTTCTGCTGTTGATTTACTCAGTCACGAATCCTGCCATCATCTTTACTATTTGAGTAGAACCTATTATTCCTTCTGCAGGAATAGAAATAGAAGGTTCTTGCTTATTGGGCAAGGGTACTCAACCAAACGTCATCTGTACCCCAGGAATAATACTCACCCTTTCAATGTGAATTTTACAAAGTCATTCAGGCAGCTTTCATCAGTATTCTAGAATAGAACTCACCTTCTCCTGTTGATTTATTTGGTCACGGATCCTCCAGTCCTGATTACAGTAGAAGTAGAACACATTATGCCTCCTTTAGGAATAGAAATAAAACTCTCTTTGTTATTAGTCCAAAGTCACTCGTTCAACCGTCATCTGTACCCCAGGATTCATACTCACCTTTTCCTGGTGAATTGTACAAACTTATTCAGGCAGCTTTCATGAGTATTCTAGAAGAGAACTCACCTTCTCCTGTTCATTACTTGGTCACGCATCTTCCAGTCATGCTTACCGTAGTAGGAGAACCTGTTATCCATGCTGCAGGAGTAGAAATAAAACTCTATTGTTTATTGGCCCAACATCACTCAACCAACTGTCATCCGTACCCCAGGAGTGATACTCACCTTTTCCTGGTGAATTGTACAAATTCATTCAGGCAGCTTTCATGATTATTCTAGAATAGAACTCACCTTCTCCTGTTGATTTACTTGATGACACATCTTCCAGTCCTGCTTACCGTAGCAGGAGAACCTGTTATCCATATTGCAGGAGTAGAAATAAAAATCTGTTATTTAATGACTCAGCATCACACAACCAACTATCACCCATCCCTAGGAGTAAAACTCACCTTTTCCTCGTGATTGTACAAAGTCATTCAGGAAGCTTTCCCTTTTATTACAGAATACAACTCAATTTCCCCTGTTGATTTACTTGGTCATGAATCCACCAGTCCTGATTACAGTAGGAGTAGAACACGTCATACCTCCTGTAGGAATAGAAATTAAAATCTCTTTGTTATTAACCCAAAGTCACTTGATCAACTGTTGTCCGTACCCCAGGAGTGATGCTCACCTTTTCCTGGTGAATTGTACAAACTCATTCAGGCAGCTTTCATGAGTATTCTAGAATAGAACTCACCTTCCCCTGTTGATTTACTTGGTCACGCATTCTCCAGTGCTGCTTACCATAGTAGGAGAATCTATAACCCGTACTGTAGAAGTAGAAATAAAAATCTGTTGTTATTGGCCCAACATCACTCAACCAAATGTCGTCCGTACCCGAGGAGTAATACTCACCTTTTCCTGGTGAATTGTCCAAAGTCATTCAGGCAGCTTTCATGAGTATTCTGGAATAGAACTCACCTTCTCCTTTTGATTTACTTCGTCACGAATCCTCCAGTCATGGTTACAGTATGATGAGAACACATCATGCCTACTGGTGGAATAGAAATAAAAACCTTTTGGTTTTTGGTCCAAAGGTACTCAATCAACTGTCATCTGGACCCCAGGAATAATACCACCTTTTCAATGTGAATTGTACAAAGTCATTCAGGAATCTTTCCTGAGTATTACAGAATAAATCTCACGTTCTGCTGTTGATTTACTCAGTCACGAATCCTGCCGTCATCTTTACCATTTGAGTAGAACGGACATTATTTTAGCTGAACGTCCCTTCTCGGCGTGCTGCTGGAGAATCCAAATGTTGGCTTGTTCCTCAGCTTGATTGCCAGACTGGGTGAATGTTTCTTTAAGAAACGTCCTTGGCCACTCCTCCTTCGCTTGGCTGAGCTCCAGTTTATTCATGAAGGCAAATAGAGGACGGTGCTGTGAAGCAAACAAGAAGAGAAACAAACCACCTGGAACTAGAGAACGCAGCCGAAGCAATGGGTTGGATTCTCCAGGAGCGCGCCAAGAAGGGACGTTCAGGTAAGACAACATCCGTTCTCCAGCGCGCTGCTTGGAGAATCCAAATGTTGGGATATACCCAAGCTAGTCCGATGACGGGACGGCGGCTGCATTATCCCAGGAGGGGAAAGCCAGAATTGACTGCAGCACACGTCGACCAAAGGATGCCTCAGCTGAGGCAAAGGAGTCTATTTTATAGTGTCTAACAAAAGGGGTCAAAGAAGTCCATGTTGCAGCCCTACAGATGTCTAGGATGGATGCCTGGGTAGCCCAAGCAGCTGAAGTGGCTGCACTTTGGGTAGAATGTGGTAAGATCCTCCCTGGCAGAGGTTTCTTCTGGGTGCAATACACCGTCGCGATGCAGGCTTTAATCCAATGCCCAATCGTGAACGATGAGACCTTCTTGCCCAACGTAGATGGATTGAAGGACAGAAATAAGGCTTCAGACTTACAGAAGGATGATGTCCATTTAATATACCGATGTAGGGCCCTCCTAATATCCAAGGTATGCCATTGTTGTTCGAGATGATGGCTAGGATCCGGGCAAAAGTCAGGCAGAATCAATTCCTGGGCCCAGTGATACGGAGAGTTTACCTTGGGCAGGAAAGAGGGATCCGTTCGGAGCACCACCTTGTTGGGGTGGAAGATGCAAAGGTCAGCTTGCACTGACAATGCTGCCAGTTCAGAGACCCTTCTTGCCAAGGTAATCGCCACAAGAAAAGCGACCTTGAGCGTCAGAAACCTTAGGTAAATCGAAGCCAAAGGCTCAAAAAGAGGCGCCATCAGGGTGTGAAGGACCAATGCTAGGTCCCACGTAGGATACCGGTGAATAGTAGCAGGTCAGAGATTGGATGCCCCCCCTCAAGAAGGTCCATCTACAGGGATGAAGAGTCAAAGGTTGATCGTCGACCGCAGTCAAAACAGTGCCAAGGGCTGCCACTTGATATCTCAGGGTGTTAGGAGCCAGTCCCCGGTCCAAGCCGTCCTGCAAAAATACTAGAACATCCGAGGGAGTTGCAGTCTTAGGATCCTGATGAGTCTTGGAACCCCAGGAACAAAACAAGCGCCAGTTGGCGTCGTAGATACAATTTGTGGAAGGGCGTCTGGCAGATTGCATAGTGTGGATCACGCTCACAGGAATGTTGTCCTTCCTCAGATGGATCCTCTCAAACGCCAGACGGTCAACTGCAACCATTGCGGGTCTGGGTGCAGTATGACCCCCTGGCTGAGAGGTATCTTGTCGTTGGGAATGTGCCAGGGGCGTTCCACTGATAGGTTCAAGAGGTCTGCATACCAGGGCCAACACGGCCAATTGGGAATGACTAGGATGAGGTCCGCCTTCTCCGCCAGCAGCTTGCAAATCACCTGAGGGATGAGCGGCAGAGGAGGAAAAGCATAGAGTAGGCCCGGGGGCCACTCGCTTCGAAGTGCATCGCAACCTTCCGCTCCGGGACAGAAGAATCAACTGAAGAAGCGGGGCAGCTGAGCATTCAGCGGTAGACAGTTGGGAGACCAAACCTCCTCGACAGGTGTCAGAACAGATGGAGACAGATGGAGACGCCACCCTGCTTGATCTATTTGGGTCTGGGTGAGCCAGTCCGCCTGGATGTTGTCTGCGCTGGATATGTGCTCCGCTGTCAGTGACAGAACATGCTTCTCCGCCCAATGCAGCATCCTCATTGACTCGTTGAGTAGGAACTTGGAACGAGTTCCGCCTTCCCTGTTCACGTGGGCTTTCGTTGTTGTATTGTCCGTAAGGACCAACATGTGATGCCCCATCACAGTGGGCTGGAAATGGCGCAGGGCGAGATGGACTGCCCGCAGCTCTAACCAATTTATGTCGTGCTGTAAGTCCCTCGAGGACCAGCGGCCCTGAGCAACTGACGACCGCAGGTGTGCACCCCAGCCGAACTTGCTCGCATCCATTGTGATGGTTATTCAGATGGGTTCCTGGAAATAACAGCCATTCCATATGGCTGGGGAGATCCACCACTTCAGAGACAAATGGACTGCTGCCGGGATGACCACCATGGTTTTTGAGCTCACCCGGTGAGACCTCTGATAAGGCAGAAGATACCACTGAAGAGGGTGACAGTGGAGACAGGCCCACGGGACGATTGCAATGCAAGATATTAGTTTGCCTAGCAACTGAGACAAAGTGATCAGGGGAACATGTCTGAGTGACAACACGTGAGTCACCAAGGATCTTATGCTGCAAATCCCATCGGGAGACAGGAACACATGGCCGCTGACCGAGTCTATGACAGCTCCAAGGTGGAGAATGGGAATGGTGGGCAGGAACTGACTCTTGTTAGGTTTAGGGAAAACCCATGTTGTCGTAAGAGAGGAAACACCATCCTGAGGTCGGCCACAGCTTGATCCCGTGTGGCAGACAGAATAATGATGTCGTCCAGATAGCACATAACTCTGATTGGGATCTGCTGTAGGGAGGCTGCGACTGTTGCCAGCAGCTTTGTGAAGGTCCGAGGGGCGGACGAGAGGCCAAACGGCATGGCCCGATATTGGAAGTGTCGGTTTGAGTAGGCAAACCGAAGGAAGCGTCAATGGGATGGATGAATTGGGACATGCAGGTAAGCCTCCTTGAGGTCGATTGACGTCATAAAATCTCCCCGTCGGATGCCCTGCAGAATCGACTTGAGTGACTGCATTTTGAAGTAGTGATACTTGACGAATTCGTTTAGAGCCTTTACGTCTAAAATCCTCCTCCAGCCCCCGGAAGACTTTGGCACGAGAAAAAGGCGCGAGTAGAACCCAGATCCCCATTGTTCCACCGGCACAGGTTTGATAGCGCAGATGTCTAGCAGATGTTGAATCTCTGCAGCCATCAATTCTCTCTTCTCCAGATTGCCAGATACTGGGCAGGGAAGGAAGCAATTTGGGGGGCTGGAGAGGAAGTCCAATGTGAGGCCGAACTTCACTGTTTGGAGGACCCAGGCGTCCGTCATGGAAGAAACCCATTGGGGCAAGAAATGGAGGAGACAATCACCAATGGGCAGATCTGCGTGGTAGTCACTTGCCCCTTTGGAACAATTTTCTGGGGGCTCCACGTAACTGTCGCCTGGCGGTGGTCTGACCTCTACCCCAATCCCGGTAGGTCGGTCTATCAGAGGGGTCGATCGCTGCCCTGGGAGTATTGTCTAGGAAAATAGGACCCACTGGGTCCACATTCAGTCCGAAAAGGCTGCCTCTGGTTGTAAGGAGTGAATCTCCTATCCTGTCGTCTGAAGGAGGATGGCATAACTTTACGTTTATCCTTATCCTCCATTAGTATTGGGTCCAAAGCCTCTACCAAAGAGAAAGGAACCCTTGTATGGAGCAGATGCTAGCTTCCACTTTGATTTGAGATTGGCCCTCCAATGACAGAGCCAAACGAGACGCCGAGAGGTGACGGTCAAAACGAGGGCTCTTGAAGCAAATTTGGCCGCATTCAAGGATACGTCTGCTGAATATTCAGTGGCAGCCACAATTTTATTAATGTCCTGATGGAGCCTGCAGTCGTCAGGAGGTAAGCGCTCCTGCAGTTGGCGCAACCAAATAAGAGATGCACGAGCAAAGAAGGATGTAGATGTTGCTGCCCTGATGGCCCAGGCAGCAGCTTGATGTGTCTTATGGAAAGACAGTTCAGCCTTCTTGTCCTCGGTCCTAAGACTGTCAAGCACATCATTAGAAATGACGGAAGAGGACGTCAACTGAGCCACATGGCCATCCACAGAAGGCAGCTGGATCAGATTTTGCAAGGAAGGGTCCAAACAATACAATTTTTTATCTAACCCATTCGGGGCAGAGATGTAAGCCAGCTGGGACCATGACTTTTGGACCACATCCGTGAACAGTTCAGGACACGGAATAAAGTCCTGTTCCGGCTTGTGCAGCTGAAACAAGTCATCATGGGGATGAGAATCCGCCTGTTGAGATGGCTGTGTGCTCGACACTCCCATATTTGTGGTGATCTTAGCCTTGTGGAGCAAGGACTTGAACATGGACGGGCGGAAGAGGCCCGTGAAGGAAGGTCTCTCAGGAGCAAGGTCCTCGTCCTCAGACAACTCCATCTCTTCAGGTTCCTCCTCATCCCAGACTGAATCATCGGCAAGAAGAGATTCAGTGTGATATGAATATCCTCGGGGCAGATCGCCATACGCCTGAGACAATGGTGGATGCGAAGCTGGCATGGAAGGACCCTGAAATCCCTGGTGAGGAGCTGAAGTCAAGATTCTAGACATTGTCTGAGACACAAGTTCTTGGATATCTCTAGATAACGCTGGTTGAAGCCCCTCAGAAGGACAGAGACCAGCAGTGGCCAGGGTGAAAGTAGCCTCTGGACGGATTGACCCCGATGATGAGAAGCCTGAGCACTGGGCCCTGAGGAAGCAGGAGGAAAGATGGCCTCCCAGAGGAGTTCAACTTCTGTTGGACAGTGGGTGGCAGCAGGAAGGTCCTGAGGTACTGGAGAAATCTTGTCAGGAGACATCTGGTGGGTAGAAGACTGGGCCCTCTGCTGGGCGAGAAGATATTGTTTTTCAGAGGCCTTGCGTTTTTTCTCCTCAGCCTTGTCAGCTGCTGCAGTGCACGTGGTAGGGTTAGGACTAGCCAAATGTGCACAAACAGTTCGATGTTTGGCAGATTTGGCAGGAGCCTTGGAGCGTTTTTTAACCTCAGGTGGACTATAGGAATGGTCAATATCAGAGGACAGATCCGACTCCGCCATTAGAACAAGGTGATCCGAGGTAAGTTGACAGAATTGAATAATAGTAAATTGATTAAATAATTAATTTTTTTTTTTTCAAAACAAGAAAACAGCAACGACAAGGAAAGGCAAATAGGCCACAGGACCTAACAATCAATGGAGCCGTGAAGTCAGTCCAGGTGGATACAGCTCACAAACAGCAAGAAATAATGGCCAACAGGTGTCAGAACACCTCAGTAAGCCACTTCACACAGGCTCCTCACCAACTCTGTAATCCAGCAGGCAAAAGGGCAACGTGAACATATTTGCGCTATCTGCCGCCACTAGCACAGTTTCTGAGGAAATGGTGGCGACGAAGAAGAAGGCAAAATGGTGCGCGGCTCATATTTTGCCCCCCAGCGCCTCTGCAGAGTGAGGGAGCTCAATTAGAAAGGCGTGCTCGGCTGGAAGAGCCCAATCGGTGCCACGAAGCCATCACAGAAGGAGTTTGCCATTTTTTTGTATTAAGCAGGGACTCCTGGCTGCCCAAAGATCGTAGGAGCGGTGTGGAAGGCGGGGATGGTGTAGCCGGCTTTCCGGAAACCAACGCATCTGGCGGCGGCAGAGAAATTCACTCGGAGGTGCCTCAACAGGTATAGCTCCGAGGATACTCAGAAGTGAGGGGGGGGAAGCCTGCCTGGAGACCCAGGGCAACTCACCCACCGCCAGCAGTCCTGGTAATTAGCGCCGAACCGACAAACAGCTGATTCACTTGAAACCACAATCCACACCGCTCTGAGGGACAGTTTTAGACGAAAAACAGCAAAGGTGCTTGTAAAAATCCAAAGAAGATTATTCTTCAGCCTGAATTGCCAGAGCCAAGGAAAAAACCAGTCTCTCGCTCGACTGAGTGAATAAACTGGAGCTCAGCCGAGCGAAGGAGGAGTGGCCAAGGATGTTTCTTAAAGAAACATTCACCCAGTCTGGCAATCAAGCTGAGGAACAACCCAACATTTGGATACTCCAAGCAGCATGCTGGAGAACCTATTATTCCTTCTGCAGGAATAAAAATAGAAGTTTCTTGGTTATTGGGCAAGGTACTCAACCAAATGTTGTCTGTACCCCAGGATTAATACTCACCCTTTCAATGTGAATTTTACAAAGTCATTCAGGCAGCTTTCATGAGTATTCTAGAATAGAACTCAGCTTCTCCTGTTGATTTACTTGATCACACATCTTCCAGTCCTGCTTACCGTAGCAGGAGAACCTGTTATCCATACTTTAGGAGTAGAAATAAAAATCTGTTGTTTAATGACTCAGCATCACTCAACCAACTATCATCCATCCCCAGGAGTAAAACTCACCTTTTCCTTGTGATTGTACAAAGTCATTCAGGCATGTTTCCTCAGTATTCTGGAATAAAACTCACCTTCCCTTGTTGATTTACTTGGTGACGCATCTTCCAGTCATGCTTACCATAGTAGAAGGACCTATTATCCATACTGCAGGAGAAGAAATAAAAATCTGTTGTTTATTGGCCCAGCATCACTCAACCAAGTGTCGTCTGTATGCCAGGAGTAATACTCACCTTTTCCTGGTGAATTGTACAAAGTCATTCAGGAAGCTTTCATGAGTATTCTAGAATAGAACTCACCTTGTCCTGTGAATTTACTTGGTCACGAATCCTCCAGTCCTGCTTACCATAGTAGGAGAACCTGTTATCCATACTGCACGAGTAGAAATGAAAATCTGTTGTTTAATGGCTCAACATCACTCAACCAACTATCACCCATCCCAGGAGTAAAACTCACCTTTTCATCATGAATGTACAAAGTCATTCAGTCAGGTTTCCTGAGTATTACAGAATAAAACTCACCTTCCCCTGTTGGTTTACTTGGTCATGAATCCTCCAGTCATCGTTATAGTATGAGTAGAACACATTATGCCTCTTGGAGGAATAGAAATAAAAATCTTTTTGTTATTAGCCTAAAGTCACTCGATCAACTGTGATCCGTACCCGAGGAGTAATACTCACCTTTTCCTGGTGAATTGTACAAAGTCATTCAAGCAGCTCTCATGAGTATTTTGGAATAATACTCACCGTCTCCTTTTGATTGACTTGGTTATGAATCCTCCAGTCACAGTTACAGTATGAGTAGAACACATGATGCCTACTGGAGGAATAGAAATAAAAATATCTTTGTTATTAGCCTAAAGACATTTGATCAACTGTCGTCCATACCCCAGGAGTAATACTCACCTTTTCAATGTGAATTGTACAAACTCATTCAGGCAGCTTTCATGAATATTCTAGAATAGAACTCACCTTCTCCTTTTTGTTTGCTTGGTCACAAATCTTCCGTTCCTGCTTACCGTAGCAGGAGAATCTGTTATCCATACTGCAAGAGTAGAAATAAAAATCTGTTGTTTAATGGCTCAACATCACTCAACCAACTATCACCCATCCCCAGGAGTAAAACTCACCTTTTCCTAGTGAATTGTACAAAGTCATTCAGGCAGCTTTCATGAGTATTCTGGAATAGAACTCACCTTGTCCTTTTGATTTACTTGGTCATGAATCCTCCAGTCATGGTTACAGTATGAGGAGAAGATATCATGCCTACTGGAGGAATAGAAATAAAAATCTCTTTGTTATTGGTCCCAAGGTACTCAATCAATTGTCATCAGGACCTCAGGAATAATACTCACCTTTTCAATGTGAATTGTACAACGTCATTCAGGAAGCTTTCCTGAGTATTACAGAATAAAACTCACGTTCTGCTGTTGATTTACTCGGTCACAAATCCTCCCATCATATTTACCATTTAATAGAACCTATTATTCCTTCTGCAGGTATAGAAATAGAAGTCTCTTGGTTATTGGGCCAAGGGTACTCAACCAAATGTCGCCTGTACCCCAAAATAATACTCACCTTTTCCTGGTGAATTGTACAAAGTCATTCAGGCAACTTTCATGAGTATTCTGGAATAGAACTCACCTTGTCCTTTTGATTTACTTGGTCCCGAATCCTCCAGTCATGGTTACAGTATTAGTAGAACACATCATGCCCATTGGAGGAATAGAAATAAAAAACTCTTGGTTATTGGTCCAAAGGTACTCAATCAATTGTCATCCGGACCCCAGAAGTAATACTCACCTTTTCGATGTGAATTGTACAAAGTCATTCAGGCCGCTTTCATGAGTATTCTGGAATAAAACTCACCTTCTACTGTTGATTTACATGGTCATGAATCCTCCCGTTATGTTTATCATTTGAGTAGAACCTATTATTCCTTCTGCAGGAATAGAAATAGAAGGATCTTGGTTATTGGGCCAAACGTACTCAACCCAATGTCATCCATACCCCAGGAGTAATACTCACCTTTTCTTGGTGAATTGTACAAAGTCACTGAGGCTGATTTCATGAGTATTCTAGAACAGAACTCACCTTCTCCTGTTGATTTACTTGGTCACGCATCTTCCATTCATGCTTACCATAGTAGGAGAGCCTGTTATCCATAGTGCAGGAATAGAAATACAAATCTGTTGTTTAATGGCTCAACATCACTCAAAAACTATCACCCGTCCTCAGGAGCAAAACTCAGCTTTTCCTTGTGATTGTACAAAGTCATTCAGGCAGGTTTCCTTAGTATTACAGAATAAAACTCACCTTCCCCTGTTCATTAACTTTATCACGAATCTTCCAGTCCTGCTTTCTGTAGTAGGAGAACCTGTTATTAAAACTGCCGCAGTAGAAATAAAAATCTCTAGTATTAAGGCTCAACATCATTCAAACAACTATCACCCATCCCCAGGAGTAAAACTCACCTTTTCCTGGTGAATTGTACAAAGTCGTTCAGGTAGCTTTCATGGGTATTCTAGAATAGAACATACCTTCTCCTTTTGATTTTCTCGTTCATGAATCCTCCAGTCATGGTTATAATATGAGTAGAACATATGATGCCTACTGCAGTAGTAGAAATAAAAATCTCTGGTTTATTTTCCAAAAATCGCTAAACCAATTGTCCTTCCATATACTCTTTAAGGGTAGCCCCATGTAGAGCGTGTTGTAATACTCACGATGGGAAGTGACTAGGTTATGAATTTCTGTGACTAGGTTCTGCTCTTCAAGCAGGAGTCATAAGTTCAGGAGGATCCCCAGGTTACGTACAGGGTCTGTTTGGCATAGTGTCATCCCATCCAAGACTAGTGGTGGCAATTCTCCCTGAGTCAATGAACTCCAAACCCAGAGTCACTCTGTCTTGTCAGGGTTTAGTTTCAACCTGTTGCTCCCCATCCAGTCCCTAACAGTCACTGCGAGAGGATGAGATGACATCACTTAACTCACCACGGGCCGAGACATACAGCTGAGTATCATCAGCATATAGATGATACCTCAGTCCATGGTGACAAATGATCTCTCTCAGTGGTTTAATATAAATGTTGAACAGGAATGGAGAGAATACCGAATCCTGCAGAACCCCACAAAGCAGTGGGTGAGGGGTGGATCTCTCCTCTCCTATCAACACTGATTGAAAGCAGCCACAAAGGAAGGAAGTGAACCAGGATAGCACAAGGCCCCCCCACTCCCATCCCTAAAGCCACTCCAGAAGAATACCATGGCCAATGGTATCAAAAGCCACCGAGAGGTCAAATAGAGCAAGGATCCATGCACTACCCCAATCCCGATCCCTCCAAAGATCATCCAAACCAATGCCATTTCTGTCCCAAATCCAGGCCTGAATCCTTTACTGGTGGGGGTCTAGATAATATGTTTCATCCAGAAACCTCTGGAGTTGCCATGCAACCACCTTCTCAACAACCTTCCCCAAAAAGGAAAGATTGGAGACAGGACAGAAATTATCCAACAGGGTGGAATCTAGCAATGGAATGTTATGCATTTTGGAATGCCATGCAGCATTCATACACATGCTGAATGGAAAATTTACCCAGGGACCAAGCAGAGGGAATTGTAGGATACACCAAAAAGTGGGCTTGCTTGAAAAACAAGTTTGGAATGACCCAGGTCACAGTATTCCATGTACTCTCTGTAAGCTACACAATAAAGTCCATATATATCTCCCTCCTGGGTACCCTGGGGCTAGCCACCATCTTCAACAGTCCTAGTGGTTTTGCCGGGCAACTTCTTTGCTGAAGGACATCCATGGAAGCTGGCTAGATAGGCCTCTATGTCTTTCTTCATCCACTGCCACCAAAACTGCCTCATCAAAACTGCTGGGTGAGATCATTCGTAGTTTCGGGGTGAGGTATCATCAGTATGCTGATGATACCCAACTTTACATCTCCAACCCGGATCAACCCAGCGATGCCCTTTCTGTGATGTCTAAGTGCCTAGAGGTGGTGCGGGTCTGGATGGGTAGGAACAGGCTCAGACTCAACCCCTCCAAGACAGAGTGGCTGTGGATGCCGGCATCTCATGATCTAGTATCCCCATCGCTTCTGATGGGAGGGGAGTGTCTAGCTCCCTCGGAAAGGGTTTGTAATCTTGGCATCCTCCTTGACTCACGGCTGTCCTTGGTGGACCATCTGACGGCTGTGACAAGGGGGGCTTTTGCACAGGTTTGCCTGGTGCGCCAGTTGTGCCCTTTCCTAGACAGGGATGCCCTCCGTACGGTCACTCATGCTCTCATTATTTCTCGGCTGGATTACTGCAATGCCCTCTACATGGGCCTGCCCTTAGGGTGGACCCAGAGGCTCCAATGGTCCAGAATGCGGCTGCGTGGGTATTTACAGGTGCTTCCCGTTACTCCCATATAACACCATTGTTGCGCGAGCTGCATTGGTTGCCGGTGGTCCTCCGGATCCGCTTCAAGGTGCTGGTGCTCACCTATAAAGCCCTTCATGGCATGGGCCCGGGGTACTTGCAGGACTACCTCCTACCAGTCTCCTACCGCCCAGTGCGCTCACATAGGACTGCCCTCCTCCAAGTCCCATTAGCCAGACAGTGTCAGCTGGTGGCCCCCAGGATGAGGGCGTTCTCTGTGGTCGCACCGACCCTCTGGAATGGTTTACCCACTGGATTCCAGATGGCCCCTGACCTCCGCACCTTCCGCGCCGAGCTAAAGACATGGCTCTTTCAGCAAATTCCCTGATCTGCCGTGCATTTTAATTTGGGGATTTGGGATTTTTAAATCGGATTTTAACATTTTAATTTTATTTATTGTTGAGTTGTTTTATTCTGTGAGCCACCCCGAGTCCCTTAGGAGAAGGGCAGCATATAAATATGACAATAAATAAATGAATGAATAAATAAATAAATAAATAAATAATGAGGTGAAAGGTTTTCACAAATCCAAATGGTTTAGCTGCAATATTAAGTTCCTGGGGCTCAACGGGATATATAATTTACTCCCCATCAATGCCAGTCCATCTCTTAAGGACAACTTGCCTTTGTGTTGTTGGAACCACTCATTTCTGGCTTCTTTTAGGGTTGTGTTAGGTCTTCGGTCAGCTGTGATGGTGTTACTTCCTGCTGTCCAGAACAACTAGACACAAGAACAGTTTTTTCCCGAATGTCATCACTCTGCTAAACAAATCATTCCCTCACCACTGTCAAACTATTTACTAAGTCTGCACTACTATTAGTCTTCTCATCGTTCCTATCACCCATCTCCTCCCACTTATGACTATATGACTGGAAATTTGTTGCTTGTATCCTTACAATTTATATTGACTGTTTCCTAATATGATTTGATTGCTTATTTGTTCCCTATGACTATCATTAAGTGTTGAACCTTATTATTCTTGATGAATGTATCTTTTCTTTTATGTACACTGAGAGCATATGCACCAAAGACAAATTCCTTCTGTGTCCAATCACACTTGGTCAATAAAGAATTCTATTCTATTCTATTCTATTCTATTCTATTCTATTCTATTCTATTCTATTCTATTCTATTCTATTCTATTCTATTCTATTCTCATGCGGGCCAGTGCTGCTACTTGTTTGGAGGGAATGATGGAGTTGACAACCTCCTCTCAAGCACTGTTGTACTGTGGCATTCGTGAGAGGACATTTGCCAAAATATTTCACTGTCCTGGTAGATAGCAAGAGAGTGAAGTTGAAGCAATTGAAATATTGGACCCATTAGACCTGCTTGGGAAACAGCTTTTGGGGAGACTTCAGTACTTCTAAGTTCTTTTGTTCCATCCACACCTTAAAAGGAAACTTACTACCTTTCAGGAATTGCCTCCAGGTTAGGCGAGCCCAGCAAAGGGCTTCCTTTTCCCAGCTAGCCCATCACCTCTCAGTCTCAGAGAGCTTGTGGAATATGTAGGCACAAGGCTGAAACTACCCTTTTTCATTCTTCTGGAGGAGCACCACCCTCACGGCCCACCCCAATGGTCCCCTTGAAGTGATGTCCTGGTGCCTGGAAGCTGTACGGATCTGGATGGGGAGAAACAGACTCAGGCTCAACCCATCCAAGACCGAGTGGCTGTGGTTTCTGACGTCCCAATATAGTCAGTTGGTGCCATCATTGACTATTAGGGGCAAGTCGTTGGCTCCCATGGAGAGGGCTCACAACTTGGGTGTCCTCCTGGACTCACGGCTGTCTTTAGAAGAGCATTTGACAGCTGTGGCCGGGAGGACTTTTTATTAGGTCCGCCTGATCCGCCAGTTGTGTCACTTTCTGGATCGGGACTTGTTAAGTACAGTCACTTCCCACCTGGACTACTGTAATGCTCTTTACATGTGGCTCCCCTTGAGGAGCACTTGGAGGCTCCAGCTGGTCCAGAATGCAGCTGTGTGGGTGGTTATGGGAGTGACATGGAGCTCCCATGTGACTCCCCTCCTGCGCAAGCTGCACCGGTTCCGGGTGGTCTTCTGGGTGCGCTTCAAGATTTTGGTTACCACCTTTAGAGCGCTCCATGGCTTAGGACTGGGGTATCTACAAGACCGCCTTCTGCCACCAGTAGCCTCTCACCGACCAGTACGCTTCCATAGAGAGGGGCTTCTCAGGGTGCCATCGGTCAAACAGTGTCAACTGGTGGCCCCCAGGGGGAAAGCCTTCTCTGTGGGGGCACCTGCCATCTGGAACGAGCTCCCCCCGGAGATACAGAGGATCCCGGATCTGTGCAGTTTCCACCGTGCCCTCAAAACATTCCTATTCCAGCAGGCTGGTCTGGCCTAACTTCCCTTTTAAATTGCTATTTTTAAATTTGTCTTATAAATTGGGTGTTTTAAATTTGTTTTGGGCCAAATTATTTAATGTATTTTAAATGGTTTTTAACGTTTGTACTATGTGTATTTTATCTTTTGGCTGTTCACCACCCTGAGTCCTTCGGGAGTAGGGTGGTATATAAATTTAATAATAATAATAATAATAAAAAATGGCCACATCACTGGCGTCTTCTTGTATTACATAGGGCTTGTCTGGGTCAGAGTGCTTCAGCACCAGCTCAGCGATGAAAAGATGCTTTAGCTTCTTGAATATAGTTTGGCATTCGAGTGGGCAGTTCAGAGGTTGGCTGGGCTTGTGTTTGGTTTCCCCACCTTGTCAGCAACAAATTTGTGATCGGTAGGGCTATTTGAGTGAATGTGGAGATGAATTGGCGATAGAAGTATGCAAAGCCAATAAAACTTTACAACTGTTTCCTCATTCAAGGGGGATGTCACTCTAGTATTATTCAGACCTTCCCAGATCCTTCTCTATGCCAACTTTCAAGATCTGGTACCCTAGGTAGTCTATGCTGGTCTTATGGAAATCACGCTTGGATAACTTTGCATAAAGTTGAGCCCTCCGCAGTTTCTCAAGTACCATTCTGACCAATTTCACATGCTCCTCCTTGGTTTTGGTATAGATTAATATAACATCCAGATAGATCAGAATTCCTTTGTACAGGTGTTTATGCAGGACTTCCTTTATTAACTGCATGAACACTGCTGGGGGCCCCTGTAGTCCAAACAGCATCACCCTTAACTGGTAGCAGCTCAGGGGCAGTTTAATGTGGTTTTCCATTCACCCCCTTCCTTAATTCTCTTCTTTGTGCGGTGCCCCAATATGTCTTTCAACAATGGGAGTGGATATATATTTTCTACATATGTATAGTTTAGTCCTCTAAAGTTGACGCACAGACTAAGGAACCCATCCTTATGTTTGTTAAAAAACATAGGGGCTACCACCCTTGATTTGGCTAGTTGAATGAAGCCCTTGCCCAAATGTTTGCCTATGAAGTGCGGAGTTCCTCCATTTCTATGGGCGCCACTGAAGATAGCTTTGGTAACTTGACCCAAGACATGATCTCAATGGCACAGTCTGTGGGCAATGGGGTGGAAGTGTGTCGGACTCCTTTTTGCTAAAAACCATGGCCAGGTCATGACACTCTTTAGGAATCAATGGCTCTGAGCCAACGCCTCCCTCTAGTTTATTGGCAATTTCCACTTTCACTTTCTTAACCATAGGCGTGAGGTGGCTTCTTAGCACTTTACCTAACTTTTGCCAGTTTGATACTTTCCTTCGCATCCACCACCTGTCTCTATCCCAATTGACAGATGGGCTCCAATTTTTCTACCATGCCAGGCCTAGGACCATGGCCTCTGTCATCCCAAAGGTCACAATAAATCAAATAGTCTCTGTGTGGGTCCCAGCTTTCAGCTTCACAGGCTTGGTTAGGCAGATCGCTGGCACTTATCAAACTTTCTAGCTGGGAAAATGCTGTAGGCTTCCTTAGCCTCATCCCTAGCTTTGCTACCACCTGGGGGATAACCAGGTACCTGGTGTACCCCCACAGGGCCAGAAGGATCCCCTTTATATTTGAGGAAGACCCCAAAATCTCCACCCTGGCAGTCATAGGGATGGTGATGCCACTTACCATCAGGTCATCTTCTCCTTCATGGTTACCCTTATAGAAGACTGATCCCATCTTGGCAAAGGTCGGAGTTCCCTCCCCCTCATGGATGGAGGGGAGAACTCTACAACTTGTTGCCCTGCATGAGTTCTCTTACTTGATTTCAGTGGAAATATTTTCTTCTTTGGTTGGCTCGGAGGCTGGGGAGCCATCATCAATTTTGGTGCAAGACACTTGGCAGCTCAGTGCCCCTCCTTTTCATAGCAAAAGCAGGACCCTTTGGCTGGAGGCGCACTCCCTTTTCCTCCTCTGGGAGCTGCTTGCTTCTCCGTCCCTGATGTGGAACATCCATCATTCACTCCTTTGTGGTTGTGGGCAATTGCTGGGATTTCTCAGTCTTTGGCTTTCCTGCCTATTGCAGGACTAGAACTCCTCATCTCAAACTCCTTGCTTTACCTTTAAATGAAACCCATTTAGGGAGATTGTGTGTGCTCATCTCTCGCAACTGGCTAAGCAGCTCAGTATAACCTGCCACTTACCAACAATCTCCCTGAAAAGGGAGTCTGCCCTCTCCCCTCCCCAGGGACTGAGGTTTATGCAAGTGATCTGTGTTGGGTCATCTCTGATGTCATAATGGAGGGAGGGGAGGAGGCAGAGAGGTCTGAGATTGGCAGGGAAGACCAAGCTGCCCAGATCCTTGACTACCCAGATGGGTTCACATGATACACTGAACCTTATTCCCAGCTGAAGATTCCACCTTGTCTGCATATACAGCTTATGGCACATCCATATTGGTTTATCTGAACATTTTAGATGGCTATTTATATTGCACAAAGGGAGCCAAGGTGGCTAATAAAGAAATAATAATAATAATAATAATAATAATAATAATAATAATAATAATAATAATAATAATAATAATAATAATAACAACAACAACAACAACAACAACACTAATAATAATTCATTTATTTTAAAAAGTTTATTTATTTATAAATTTTATAATATAAATAAATACAAAAACCCACAGTAAAGTTAACATGTCATAAGATCACTGACTTAAAAAATGCAGACACACCCGCGAATGCACGCACACACACATGCATACAAAAGTGAATTTGATAGAAAAACTGATTTTTTTTTGACAGAGAATAACAGAGTTGGAAGTGTCCTTGGAGATCTTCTAGTCCAACCTCCTGCACAAGCAGGAGTCTTTATACCCATGATGTCGAACCTATGGAACAAGTGCCACAGGTGGCACACAGAGTCCTCTCTCCGGGCATGCCAGCTGTCACCCAGCCCAGCTCCACCGCACATGTGTGCACACCTCCCTCTGGCCAGCTGGTCTTCGGGTCTCTGCCACACATGCACGGGGCCTTCCCCGATCGCAGTTTCTCCCCCCGGAGTATGCTAGCTTTCTCCTGCATTTTTGCCACCTGTGCCTTCTCCGATCTCTGCCGGTTCAACCCTCCGCAGGTGCCTCTCTGTGGCAGAAATGCAGGAGAAAGCTAGGGCATGCTGATGGGAGAAACTGAGGAGATTGGGGAAGGCACGAGAGGCAAAAATGCAGGAGAAAGGTAGCTCACACTGGGGGGAGAAACAGATCAGGGAAGGCATGGGCTGCAGAAATGCAGGAGAACCAACCTGGAAGCCAAAACGGGGGCCGGGGAATAGGGCATATGTGCCAGGGGGAGCATGTGGGGGAATGCGTGCACATGCATGGGGCCAGGGTGCATTCACGGGGGTGCTTGGATTGCATTTTGGGGATTGGGGCATGCGCACATGCATTTGTGCAGTTTGGGCACTCGGCACCAAAAAGATTAACCATCACTGCCCTATACCATTCCAAACAAATTGCTGTTCAATCTCTATTTTAAAAACTCCAATGATGGAGTACCCACAATTTCTGGAGTAAAGCCATTCTCACTGTTCTCACTGTTAGGAAATTTCTCCTTAGCTCTACATTGCTTCTTTCCTTGATTAGATTCCATCCATTGCATCTTGCCCTATCTTCTGGTGCTTTGGAAAATAGGTTGACCCCCTCTTTTTTTTTTTTTTTATGGCAGCCCCTTAGATATTGGAACACTGCTATCATATCACCCCTATTCCTTCTTTTTATTAAACTAGACATACCCTATTCCTGCAACTGTTCTTCATATGTTTATATGAAGGAAATAATTTATATTAGGAAGTAATTTTAACTGCTTTAATGCAATACTACTTCCTTCCCTAGAACCAATTCAGCCCAGCATCGAAAATGTTTTGATTGCATTAGTGCAGTTTCTTATCCACAGCAACTTTAAGATGACTGGACTGCAATTATTGGAATTTCCCAGCTAACAATAAGAACATCATGATCAGCCTTATCCTCTAATCATTTTTAAGCCCTCAAATTTTGGCTATGGTTAAAAAAAGGCCTGTTTTTACCCCAGTGCTAGAAATCAAACTGTAAAGTCCTCAAGGCAGCAATCCGAGCTTCTGTTGCTGCTGCAGTTAGCTTATATTAACCAAGACTTTCAAAGGCTGAGTTCTTTCCAGATGTGAATCCCACACTTGCAAAACTGCATCTAGTCCTGGTCGCCATCAGTGGTGGGTTGCCCCCGGTTCGGACTGGTTCGCAAGAACCGGTAGTAAAACCGGCAGGAAGCTCCACCCACTGACCTGGAAATCATTATACTTGATCTGCGCATGCGCGGGCACGATGCGAACCAATAGTAAAGGTAAGTAGAACCCACCCCTGGTCACCATCATACAAAAAAGATGTTGAGACCCCAGAAAGTGTCCAGAGAAGAGCAACAAAGACGATAAAGGGTCTAGAAGCTAAACTGTATAATGAAGGGATAAAGGTGCTAGATATGTTTAGACTAACTGAAAAGGCTTAGGGAAGATCTGATAGAGGTCTTCCAATACCTGTCGGAATAGAGGTCAACCTATTCTCCAAAGCACCTGAAGGCAGGACAAAAAGTAATGGATAGATGATTATTAAAAAGAGATCCTGTTTCCCGAGAATGAGAAATTAATCAGTGGAACAGCTTATCCCTGGGATTTATGGGTGCTCCATCACTGGAGATTTTCAAGAAGAGACTGGACAGCTATATAGGGTCTCCTGCTTGAGTAGGGATTTGGACTAAAAGACCTTCCAACCCTACTATTCCATGTTCTTTGTTCTATGAAGTATAATTCCCAGAATTTTCAGTAATGGCTACGTTGACTGGAGAATTCTGGGAGTAGTATATCATTTAGACTGGGAAGACTACAAGGCAATTTTCATACTAGTGTAATAACTGTTATTGATCTAGCCTTCAGTTTTTTACGTGCTTTCTGAAAACTATTTCCACTGGATTCAGTATGACATTTTCCTAATTATGGGTTCCTCTGACTTTTTTCCTTTTTAAAAATCATAATAGGTAGACAGCCTAATTTTTCAAGATCATGGCTCTATAGTGAGTACGGGTTATTATGCAGTAATGTACCTTGGTACTTGGCAGATATACATACTTATAGATATCTTCTTTAAAAGGTTTTGATAGGCACATTTGTATTATGCAATGCACTTCAGGAGAAGCCACAGCATCAACTGGGTGCCACAAAAAGTGAGAAGTTAATGTTGCCATGGCAATAAGCACCACTTTCCTTCCTTTCTGCCATTCTTTACAGAGGGAGGGAAGACTCCACGGGTAACTAACCCTTTCATTCCAATAATAATAAGCATTGTTTTGGGAAAAATTATTTATTGAGACTATATCAATATTAAGAGTTCGGCTTTATCATGCAGGCCAGATCTAAAACAAATTTTTGAAAACCCCATTATCTGAACACATGAAACTATCACATGGATGAATCCTGTCTCATGGCAAACTAAAATTTGCCTCCAGCCTTTTCCCCTTCTTCAAGTTTAGAGAGACTAATCTTCTGACAGATGGATTTCACACCATCCAAAATATTTCAAATCATAATGCAGAAATATTTATCTCTCTCTCTTTTAAGATTTAAAGATTCTACTGTCACCCATGTTACTCATGTCTAGTTTAACAAGTTGTTGAGCTCCCCACAGAATATTTGCAATACCGCCTTTCCAAAAGGATCAAGAACACACACACACACACACACACACACACACACACACACACACACACAAATCCACTTAAGTTAGCACTTACATATAGCGGTAACATTTGAAAGCTAGCCAGTTGTTTTGCTTTTAACAAATATGCTAATGTGATCTAAATTCAGAAGCTAGAGAGCTGTTGAACAATTTTTTTTCAGATAGGAAAAGGGAAATATTTTCAGAGATGTGAATATATCAGAACAACTCCACTGTACAAATAGTGTAAAGTTTATTTCAGGGGCTTTAGAGACCAATGGTACAAAACTGAATTCAGGAAGAATAATGAAGTGGTTGGCTCTGAAATGCAGTTTTCACACTGTCTACTCAAGCCATGTTTCTTACAAAGTCATATTTCTCTGAATGCAATATATCCTCTGGTCAAAATTATTATTATTATTTTTTAAAAAAGAATTGTTTAATGTGCCATGTAATGGGACAGAACGATTGGATATAACATTATCTGGGTTATATCTCTCATTAACAGTAGTAATGAGAGAGACAATCTGTTCTTTCTTTTTATTAAAAAAAATATTTGATGGATTTCAGGCAAATCATTATCAATCATTTTAAAAAGCATACTGACTTTATGAATAACTGTACCTGTAAGGTACTTTTCCTACATATAAACTATTTTTTTGACGTTTAATCTTATCAATCTTTTAAAGATAGTTTTACCAATTCTATACTGCTGTCTTCGGTAATTATTTTCTAGTGTAACTGTTTATCCAGAGACATTAGCTATAATAGTGAAATACAAAGTCATTAATAAAGTATCATCTAGATATTACATGTCCCATAGTCTTAGAAACATAAATTAAATTCTTGAAGCAGCTTTTTCAAGCTTTATGTTATGCTGTTGAATGTTAATACAAAAGAAAAATTAAAAAAATAAAGAAATGATCACCGTGGAAAATATTAACCAAAATGCTAGTTAACAGTGGAAACTTTTTTTAAAAATGTTCACATTCCTCTGGAAGATTTTCTAGGTTCAAGTTTGTTGTTGAAAGTTCATAGACAAGAATGGTAACCAGTTTTTTTTTCTTATTCATTGCATTCTCCTACTGCATTTCATCTTCATCTTTCTCAGTCTAAAAATGTGATAAGAAGATAGCGAGACAAGTTTATTTTAGTTATCAAATTAAGCTCCTTTTCATGCTTTTCTTGGTGGGAAGTTAGACTACAGAAGACTATACCAGTTGAAAGGCAACTCATTTAGAACTCTATAATCATACAATATGTGCAATTTATTTTCAGATATGTGTAATGATGTGTAATGCAGATATTTTTTTTAACTTCCTCCAGGAATAGCACTGATTTAATTACTCATTTAGATTTTTATTTTGTTTGGCTGACTTTTATGAAATCAGTCGGAGGAACAACATTGATTGGCTTTTTCATTATCAT